AACACCTGGGAATGTGGACCCCTCCCCTACGTCTCTAACACCTGGGATTGTGGATCCCCCTCCCCTACGTCTCTAACACCTGGGGCTGTACCTGGATGAGCCTCAGCCATTATTCGGCATCTGACTCTGGGCGGGGACATTTCGGCCACGACAGCTGGAGCTTTGTCCTCAGGCACTGTCTCCTGGCCCCATTGGACAGACTGGGACACTGAAGCCTCTTAAACCCACCATATCAGATCACCAAGCAACCAAAAGGCCCCTGTCCTACCCAGGCCTGAGATGAGGAAACAGGTTCAGAGAGCATCTGAGCTGCCCAAGGCCATGCAGCAGGAGGGGACACCACAGGGCTCCCAATCTGCACCTGTCTGGCGCATCTATTCAGTTAGGGACCTCCCACCCTCATCAGAGAGGGTTCAAGCCCCCCACTAGCAGCCCCCCAGTGGTCTGGGCACTCACCTACTACCAGCATCCCAGGCCACCAGGCCTGCCAAGTGGGAGAAGCACAGCCCAGGTGTTTGTGTGGCTGGGGCGACAACTCTTTGTTCTGGTTTCCATAGGTACCGCGTCCCAGGGCCGCCCAGCCCTCGCCTGGCAGTCTCTCGGCCCAGCCCATCTAGGCAACTTGTTATGTTTTAAAGTCGGTGCCCATGGGCCTGGCAGGGCAGCTGAAGGTACAGCCCATGCAGAGGCCCCGGGGCAGGACCGTGTCTGGAGTTTGGAGGAACGTGGAGGTTGGTCTGGCTGGAGCAGAGTTAGTGAAGGGGAGAGAGGGAGGACCAGAAGGACACATGCAAGGCCCACATTCCTGCATTGAGCCTGGAAGCAGCCCTCTTCCCCAGGGATCTTGGTCCCTTCCCATTCTGCAGACAGGAAGCTGAGGCTCAGAGAATCCAATCGCTTATGCTGGGTAGCATGGTGAGTGGCAGAACAGGAGCCTACCGGTCTGACTCCGGGGTCTGACCTCCACAACCACTAGGCTAAACTGCCCGCCTTCTCTGTGGGCTTCCCCAGGGCATCCAGCTCCGCCAGCTGGCCTCGGACATGCTCCGGAAGCAATCTTGGAGGCCCGTTTACAGCTGGGGCTGTCCCTCCTCCAGGAGAGGCCCCCAGGATAGAGGAGGCGGTGATGCTCGAAGATCTGGGTCAGGCCACCTGCCAATTACCTCGGCAGCTACAGTCCCAGTTCACAGCTGACAAAACTGAGGCCAAGGCTTCAGGCCACTGGGAAGCTCCCAGGTGGCCAGTCTGGGTGGGCCTGGCCATGGCTCTTCCGGCTGCCTGGACTAGCCAGAAGCCACACTTTCCCATCACCACACCTTTGGCCAGGCTGCCCACTACCTGAAATGCCCTCCCGACTTTGGAATCTGGGAATCCGGCCCTAGCACCTGGCACCCTGCACAGCGAAAGGGGCAGAGTCCATCAGAGTCCCCGTGGGGGTGCGGGGACACTGGTCCCAGAGCACAGCCCCACGCTTGGGAGGGCAGTTCAGACCCAATCTGTCTTCCCCTAACCCATACAGCAGGAGAGTGACGGGGACCCAGAGCGAAAGGGAGAAACAGAGGGAAACTCAGGCAGGGATACCGATAGGCAGGGGGTAGGCAGGGAGTGCAAGGGCATGGGGGCGAGAGAGACAGGGCGTCCAGGTGGCCCCGAGGTGCGCCGAGATGGCGAGGCGCCCCGGCATCGCTCCCTCACCTGCTCTCCGGGGCCTGTCCGTCGGTCCGACCGTTGGGGCTCCGTAAAGCCGCCTCTGAGGGGCCGTTGGGGCTGCCGCGGGACTCGCGCGGGAGGACTGAGAAGGGACTGGACGGGGAGGGCGGGGAAGCTCGGTCACGCCCTCCGATAGCCCCGCCCACCACGGCGGCCCCGCCCCCGCCCTCGCGGAAGGCCCGCGACGGAGGGGCGGGCCGAGGGTGTGGAATCAGCCAATGGCAGTGCGGGCGGTGTACGAAGAGCCCAATGAAAACAAGTTATCAGGAAGGGGGCGGTGTCTGGGGCGGGGCCAAACGGCTCCGGGGGATTCCTCCGGAATCGTGAAACCGGCCGGATGCGGTGTTGAGGGGCGGGCGAGGGGGATGGTTTGCCAGAGAAAGGGGAGGAAGGAGATCCAGAGTCAAAAACAGAGAGAGACCCGGTGGGGAGGGGGCAGGGAGAAAGACCGAGAGCCCGAAAGGAAAACAGACCAACTCGCCCCGGCAAGCCCCTTCCTCCCTCGAGGACTCACTTTACCCACCTGCGTGTTAGAAACTGGGGCGGAAGCACGTTTCTTAAAGCACAGCCCCTAGGAACCCTTTATATTAGAATCACCTGAGAGCCCCTTAAAAAATGCAGAGTCCTGCAGCCCTCGATGGGCTGAGCTGACGCCAGGTTGAAGATAAATCTCCCTGAGCAGAGGTAAATCCTCAGGTGAGGTTTGAGGCGGTCGCTGGGTGGACAGACCCTGGACACCCCACCGGGGGACGCGCAGATCCAGCCTCGATTTCCGTGGGAATGAGCCGGCAGAACACGCAGGAGCCTCCTGGCCGCCAGCGGGTGAGGTGGCTGGGCCAGCTGGGGCCCCCCCCAGGAGGATGCAGCTGTGAGTCCTGGGAACTGGGCCCAGGAGCGGCTCCCAGCTTCCCTGCTGCTCGGTTTCCTCCCTGCAGCCCAGCTCTAGGTCCCAGTTTTAGCTGGGGCCCAGGGAGGCCAGAGCAGACCAGACAAGTGTTTGTGGCATTCCTCCTGTGTGCACTTGGGACACCCACAGCCCCAGCACAGGGTTCTGCTCCTGAGGCAAAGAGAAATGAAATGTCCCTTTATCCCATTTCGGAGAGGGAAACTTGAGGCCCAGAGAGGGGCAGTGACTTGGCTGAGGACATACAAACATGGGTGGCAGGGCCAGGATTCAAACCCAGGAGTACTGGTCCCACATCCTCTCGCCCTCAGCCAAGTCCTGCCCTCTTCTTAGTCCAGGGCTGCTATCCTTTGCGTGATTGCCATCTAGGTCCTGCATTCTGGCTGTGGGGGGCATCCTGGGGCCTGCGGGGTGTTGAGCATTATATCTGGCCCCCTACCTACTGGATGCCAGCAGCCCCCCACCCCCCTCCTGGTCCCAACAATGTCTCCCTCTTCCTCTGCTGCTCCCCCTGGCTGTGCTCTCTCTCTCTTTGATAGATGAATAAAATCTAAAAAAAAAAAAAAAAAGTCTCTAATCATTGCCAAGTGTCCCCTAGGGGGCAGAATCAGCCCTTTGAGACCCACTGTTAAAGATCCATCTCTTCATGCCTTCGCCCCAAACTGTGAGGAACCCTTCTTTGGGTCAGGGTAGGGGGCGGTGTCTGGGGCCAAAGAGGCAGGGGGAACCGTTTTTAGCATCTCATCAAACCACAGCAAACTGTTTCCATGAGTGCAGGGCGGGCGTGGGTGGAGTGTGACCCAAGTGGGTTCAAAATCAGCTTTTTCCCAATCTCCCCGCCTGTGTTCACCTCTCTGAGCATCAGTTGTCCGAATCTTTAACATGGGAACAGGAAGGCCTACGGGTCCGCAGAGAGGACAAAAAGTGCCCACAGGGAAGCGAAGACATTGGACCAGTTATACATTGTCCGTGGGATCGTAAGAAGGTGCAGCCCCTGTGGAGAAGTTTGGTGGGTCCTCCAAAAGGAAAATTACCATGTGACCCTGCAATTCCCCTCCTAGGTATCGACCCGGATAGGTTGAAAGCAGGGACTTGGACGGATATTTGCACAATGTCTATAACAGCATTACCCACAGCAGCCGAAAGGGGGGGGGGACAATGCGAATGTCCATCAACAGAGAAACAGATGAACAAAACGTAGTCCATCCACATACTGCAATATAATTCAGCCGCTAAAGGAAGGAAGTTCTGATTCATACCACCTGGATGAACCCTGCAAACAGGAGCTTAAATCACCAGTCGTAAGAGGACAAGTATTGTTTGATTCCACTTTCTTGAGGGACCTAGAAAAGGGGACTCTGTAGAGACAGAAAGTGGAAAAGAGGTGACCAGGGGCCTGGGGAGAGGAGAATGGTTAGTCAGTGTTTAATGCAGACAGAGTTGTGTTGAGGATGATGGTGAGGATGTTTGCAACAATGTTAGTGCGCTTAATGCCCCCTGAGTTGTACACTTAAAAATGATTATAATGGTACACCTGAGTGGCTCAGTTGGTTAAGCCACTGCCTTCGGCTCAGGTCATGATCCCAGAGTCCCAGGATGGAGTCCCACATCCGGCTTCCAGCTCTGCCGGGAGTCTGTTTCTCCCTCTGACCTTCTCCCCTCTCATGCTCTCTCTCACTTTCTCTCTCAAATAAATAAATAAAATCTTTAAAAAAGTGATTATAATGGTAAACATTATGGTATATGTTTATCACAGTTTGAGAAAATGAATAATGTAATATACCCAAGTTGCCAAATTGTATGTTTTAATTTTTTTTAAAGATTTTATTTATTTGACAGAGAGATCACAAGTAGGCAGAGAGGCAGGCAGAGAGAGAGGGGGAAGCAGGCTCCCTGCTGAGCAGAGAGCCCGATGCGGGTCTCGATCCCAGGACCCTGAGATCATGTCCTGAGCCAAAGGCAGAGGCTTAACCCACTGAGTCCCCCAGGCGCCCTGAATTGTATGTTTTAAATGGGTGAATTGTGTGGTGTATGAATTACACGTGTTTTTCATAAAGCTGGGTTTATTTTATTTTATTTTTAAATTTTTAAAAAGTAGGCTCCATGCCCAGTGCAGAGCCCAATGTGGGCAAACTCAGAACCCTGAGATCAAGACCTGAGCTGAGACCAAGAGTCCAATGCTTAACTGACTGAGCCACCCATGTGCCCCTTTACATTTTTTAAAAAGATTTTATTTTTAAGTAATCTCTATATCCCAAGTGGGACTCAAACTCACAACCCTGAGATCAAGAGTTGCACGCTCTACCCGCTGAGCCAGCCAGGGGTCCCTAAAGCTATTTTTTTTCCCAAGTGCCTCACAGCACACCTGGTAATAACATTATTAGAGCTGGGTTTTATTGATCACTTTTTTTTTTTAAAGATTTTATTTATTTATTTGACAGAGAGAAAGATCACAAGAAGGCAGAGAGGCAGGCAGAGAGAGAGGGGGAAGCAGGCTCCCTGCTGAGCAGAGAGCACCATGCGGGGCTCGATCCCAGGCCCCTGAGATCATGACCTAAGCTGAAGGCAGAGGCTTAACCCACTGAGCCACCCAGGCGCCCTGATCACTTTAAAAAAAAAAAAAAAAAGATTTTATTTATTTATTTATTTATTTATTTATTTATTTGACAGAGAGAGAGAGAGAGACAGCAAGTGAGGAAACACAAGCAGGGGGAGTGGGAAGGGGAGAAACAGGTTTCCCGCTGAGCCAGGAAACCAATGTGGGGCTGGATCCCAGGACCCTGGGATCATGACCTGAGCGGAAGACAGATGCTTAACGACTGAGCCACCCAGGCGCCCCTGTTGAGCACTCTTCATAGATTACTTCACCAAAACCTCAAATCCAGCCTGTGATACAAGAGTCCCATTTCACAGATGATGAAATTGAGGCTCAGAGGAAGCAAGTGACCTGTCCCAGGTCGTGGCAGAAGTGGGATCAGAACCTGGGGCAGTCTGAACTTTCTGTAATATGTACAGCTGCTCTGGGTGGCCCCAACAGCCATGAGGTCTCCCCAGCCAGGGTTGTGCCAGTAAAGACTAGTCCAGGAGCTCTATCTGCGGTCAGGGACTCCACTCGGAATTGAGGCTCGGCCGGGGATAAAGGGCTACATCCAGGGCTGGGGCCTCAGCCGGGATCGCGGGCGCTCAGCGGGTGTCGGAGCTCGGCCTGGAGCTGCGGGCTCCGGAGGGAGTGGGGGGCTCAGCGGGGATGGGGCGCTCGTCGCGGGTCCCGGAGCGGCGTCTCGGCTGCGCAGATTCCGGCCGTGGCCGCCAGGGGGCGTGTTCTGCGCGCAGCTCGGGCCGCCGAACCGTCTCTTTCCCCGGAACTGGTGGCTGGAGCGCGCGACATCCGCGTGCTGGGGCAGGGTCCCCAGGTCCAAGTCTCCCTAGACGCAGCCAGCATCACCTGCACCCCGAGACCAGGCCTCACGCCCCGCTGGGCTGTGTGACCCAGAACAAGCGACCCGCTTCTCTGGGCCTCGGTCTCGCGTCTGCGCAATGGGACCGCGGTGGCGGGGCGTGGGAGATGAGTGGAGGGAGCCTGCGCTCCTAGAACCCCCCGGAGGCCTTCCTCGCCCCCTTGGCTGCTTCTGCACCGACTCCAGGCCTTGGGAGACCGGACGCGGGGGCCAGGAGCCCCGCCCCCCACGCCCCAAGCCCAGGCTGCCCCCACCTGCCGCGATCCATCTGTGCCCCCAGCCCGGCAAGACCCCCTCCCACGGAGTGGGCAGGGCAGGAGGGGGCGACCCTTGCCCGTGCCCGCACCGCGGCCCAGGCCTGGGCGTCTCAGGGACCCTTCCCGAGGGCACTTAGCGGCGGGGGGCGGGGGGCTGCCTTCCTCCCGGGTCTCGGGCTCAGCCTAGGCCCGGGGGTCACCGCGCCCGCTCACCCGAGGCAGAAGGAAGGCGGCGCTGGAGGCTGCCGCAGGAATCCCAGCCCTCTGCCTGCGCCGCCCCCGCGCCAGCAGCCGAGCGGAGGAGCGCCTGGGCCGCCAGATCTGCAAGTGGCAGCCGCCGGCGCGTGGGAGGCGCGCGGGTGCGGAGACCAACGGCGGGTGCCGGCAGGTGCGTGCGGTCCCGACGCGGGCGGCCTGAGCCGCCGCTGCCTTTGCGGGTTGTGAGCCCCTCCGTCATTCCCGGCGGGAGTAACCTTCAGCCCTCGGGGCCTCGGGGGCTTCATCTGGAAGATGGGTGC